ACTACACCAATGTCACATTGCGATCTGTTGATCCGTCAAAGTGTCTCACCGAAGTGTTTTCATAGCTGATGACTTGTGAACTGATCCTTGAATAGTTTTACCTCCTGGCGGCAAACCCATGGGCGTTTCCCAGCGCTTGCGGCGCAATTGTGTTGCCAAAGGTGTAATGTCGCAATCTGGGTGTAAATGTAAGGTCAGCAATGTCTATTACACTAATTACACTATAAGATAATGCAACAACACGGCAATGCCCAACCCAGACCTAGATCGCCAATGCTGCCTAGATCACGTTGACGACATAGAGGAAAGAGTGAGTTGTTTGTATACTATATAAAATGTACAGGTGTAAGGATACATTGTTTGTATTTGTATGTAGTTGTAGTTTGCTTGTTTATGGATATATTTTAATCAAATTTGGCAATATTGTTCATTACTAAGCTATCAACATTTCAATAAAAACACACCACAATATCTTCCTTGTAGCAGCAAACCTAAGTACTCATTAAAACTAATGTTATTTGAATAGGAAATGAATCTGGCAATTTTAAGGATATATTTTAGTAGAAATCCTGCCAGGACAATGGGAGTTCACTTAGTCTGCAGGTGTGCTGTGGCGGAGGTATTCTAATATTACCATTTATCTGTAGGGTTTGATAGTATTTAAAGAAAATACCAGTAGAACAACATGTTTTTGTCTAACGGAAAACTACTTTGAAATTGCCTGTGTTAACACAATTTTCAACCTTGTTTATAGTTTTGCTAAATACAGTACTTAAGCCCACCAGCCTAAAATTGTATGAGAAGAAAATAGCTCATCGTTAAGTCAAATAAATAACCTAATAGACCCGGAACATTACAATAGATACGTAGTATTACTTTAAACTAAACGACTACGTCTATGGATCAAATTTACCCACGAGGAAATCGAGCTGGCACACAGCATGGACCTTCGGTCACCAGGATCCCGGTTCAAATCCCACCAATCACCGATGAAATTTATCCATATTATAATGTCAAGTCTCCCTAAGCTTAGCCTGAAATGTGTAAAACGGTTCCAGGCTAAATACTAGAGACCTAGAAAAGGCGAGGACATAAAAACAACTTCATTGATTCAAACTACAACAAAACTGGCCCTTTAAATTTTAAACCCACTGGATTTAAACTCTATTGACAACAATACGCACTATAGCAAGTCCCATTCACCCGGACATATTGTTGCACCCTCCGTACCAGCTGCTCGTCGTACGCCCGACAGCCGCCGAGCGGTGCGCCGGGCTTCGCCCCACTGGCCTCCCTAGGTTCCCACGAGCAACACGTGGCCTTCCACATGCTAGACATACATCAAGCATAGACCGAGGGGTCGGCAGGAGTCGCTAAGGCAAAAACAACGCTCGATCGTTTCAGCATGTTTTGTCTAACATGTGTAGATGTGGTTCATGGTGACAAGTTTAAGGTTACGCAATAAAGTTTGATGCGTCAATATGTGTTGGTGTATTTTTTTAATTACTAATTACTGATTAATTAAATTATTTGTCAAGTGTCTATTTTTTGTAAAAAGGGGTAAAATGCAATGATTTGCACAACACAACGAAATCACTTATGTCTAGTAGAATTATGTTTGTTGTAGTTTTTAATTGAATGAAGTTATTTGTTTGTCGAGAGGTAGTGATATTGTCGTATTTCTGTAGGGTCATGTCATTATGATCATAAAAATGTGGAGTAGGAAAGTAATGAATGTGTTAACAAGTCACGTTAAGTACAGCAGCACAAACGTTTCTATAGTCTGTATGATGGAACCTGTCTTCTGACCCTCCGTCTTTTTGGGATCTGGCCAATGTTTAATTTCAGGGCCAGCCCCAGTAGGCGAAGGGCTAAAAGACAGGCTCCACCGTACATACTATAACACGAAGCGTCGAACGTTTTAACAACATTTGTTATTCGAGTAGACTTGTAAACAAAATCAACCGAATACATGCCCAACATCACTAAAAATTCACGAAGCAAAATGATTACTAAACTCTAAATCATAAAATGTACATTGATACAAGACATGATTAAACATTAATAGCATACAAACTCGGTATCTCAACATCAACTACAGACACTGAATCGCTTCAGAACGTAGACGTCCCACAAAAACAACTCTCGATACAAATTTAATCGACGGAGAGATCGATGTCAGATGTTCGCATTTCGCAGCTGCATGTTACAGTTAGCTGGCCTGGCTTGACCGGTTGTCTGCTCGTCTTGTCAGTGATATCTAGATAACGTCTCAATCAACCGAGGTCCTGATGGGACCAAAATTATTCAAAGAGCACTCACGTCCTAATAGGAGGTTATAGAGAGGTTTCGATCGCTCGAAATCGAGCAGTAATGTGATCAATGTAATGCGAGTACCATTCACGATATTGTATATTGTTTTGCTTTGTAGGTCCTTTAAGTATTTTCTTTACTGAATAATCAGTGGTGTACAGTCATAGCTTTCAGTTCTGATAAACAGAAAGGACTCCAAGCTATCGAACTGTAGGATCAGTCAGTAAAAGTGGATATTATAATATCCACTATAGTAGGCCTATACAGTATATTATGTATGTTATAGTTTATTGCCACATAAGGATTTGCATTTGGTCGAAGGCCAAATTTTAATATTGTATCAACCCCGTTATTACTTCCTTTCTAGAAGCAAACATAACAGAACGCAAACGTTACTTCCAGCTACACAAAACTACTAAGGTTTATTTTTGATCAATTTTATACATAATACCACACAATGTAGTATGCGGCCTGTTATATTTCAAACTGTTCATTGTAATATCTTTAAGTTAATAGTCTTTAATTCATAACAAATCTGTTAAATCAAATATTTTACTAGACTACCATAGCCTTTTATAATAGAAGGCCGCGGCGGCGTTGATGTATATGGCAACGTCGCGCCGGCCGGCTTGTTACCATGGTAACAAAATACGTGTGAACATAAACACTGCACAGACGCTCCACTATGAATTGGCGCAACAGCTGTTTCGGTAGGTTTACTGCTCTGAAATGTATCAACAAAGTAAAAATCATTACCAAGTCCTATCACGTACTTGAATCTCATCAAACCACGCAATGTTACAACACAGATATTATCAAATTAATTCTCACTGAAAAAAAATCAAATCGATATTCCAATACGAATTCTAATCTAGATAAGATTGAGCAACCTTTGAACAACATTGTGTACCCGACACAGTCGTAACTTATCAACAAGACCCGCCTTTCTGTTGCCGATGTGGAGATAATACGTGTAGATTGGGTGGGCTGAACCGGCGGTAAAACTTCCCGCCAAAACCGGACCCTGGAATACACCTGTCAATGAGTTCGTTAAATGTATCCACTGCCATCTTGATTGCGTTTCATGACGCGTTTACAGCGTGGTTCGCCGAGGAGGTTCCCCGTAAATTCTTCGGGGTAAAAGAACAGCCTTGAGACTTTGGACATCAATAAACATGTAATTTGGTGTGAGTTCTACACAAATTTTTGAATCTTCTTGAATGTGTCATATATTTTTTGTTTTGTATAAAGGTTTGGTGTTCCGAACCTAGACTACAACCTATTGGCGGAATTTCGACCCTTATTTACAGCACAGAAGTCCTATGATTTGAATAGTTTTTTGTGGATCATACAACATCCAGCCAACCTCAGAAAAAACGTATCTTTCAGTTCAAATCCGTGTTATAGTCTGTATGATGGAACCTGTCTCCTAACCCTTATTGTCCTAGAACTCCCAAAATCTAAAACGATTTGTCAGTCTCCACCTAAACGGAGAGCTGGGAGACATGTTCCATCATACAGACTATATTGTTCAAATGTACACTTCCGACTGACAATTTTTTACAAATATTGTTGAAGATCCAAATATCACTGCAATCCCTATCAAAGTAGAATTCAATGTGACCTCTTATCTCTTGTATTTTCTGTAAAGCTTTACTTCAAAATATCCACCGAAAGACATGAGATTGAGCTACCCTACAAAGGCTTTCTGTTTGATAAAAATATTTGATGGCGTAAATACAAGGATTTTCAACAGGATTTCCTACCTACAATACACTATAGCAGCCTCGTTGTACTGGCGGCCAAGGGGTCAGTCGCCGTAGCAAATTGCTCCGGTTTCACCTCACTTGGTCACTTCCATGCCAACTTTCTCAACCGTGTATTACAATAGCTTTCTTGTAAAAATATAACAGAGTATTCACTCCCATAGTGAAATTCTGGCAATTCTAGGTTTGGTAAGTTCATACAGAATACTGCAGAATTTGAACTTTTTTAATTTCAGGTGGTAAAACACCTGACTGTGCCGAGCTTTGTAAAACCATTAGCCAGTCGCCGGGTAGACCCGGTAAGGAGACAGGCTTCGTCATACAGAGTATAGGGCATACAAATATCCACCATGTCGTAGCCAAAGGCTGTCAAGAATTTGACGAATTTTGCCTATAACCTTAATAATCTACTAGCAGGGATAAAAAAATTCAGAACTTGCCAAAATCGCACTTACTAGAATTTCGAGAACACACGAAAGTTTGTAAATGAATGTGCCTATTTTTTTGCGTTGGGTTTTAAATATTTCTTACTTGTTTAGCCACCCGAGTATGCAAATCCTTTTCTTTTGTTTTCGAATGTAGGCTACTAGACAAGCATAAAAAAAATATCTAGTGGATCATTTTCTAAATTATACCTCGCCTGGCCTCCTGCAATCCTTTCTACACCCTCACTTATTCAAAAGGTTGACCATAACCCGAAGATTAGTTAACACTTTTCTTAAGTCTAACTCACCTGCCCTACCGAGCAGAAAATACGTTCGGCTCTACCTAAAAGTGGCTGAATAATTTAATCTATACGTCCTCAAGAATAAACGACTTCCTAACTTTTCATAGATACTCTCACCCAACCGACTATAACAACAGACACACAACAGTACCAACAAATCTACAAGGGATCACAGTTAAATAGACCTACTGTACCTGATCTTTGGCTAGCTGGAACCACGTCTTGAGGATGACTGGTAGGCGGGCATGATGGTAGTGGCCTGTGGTCTTGACGCTGATGAACACATCGTGAGGGCGGGTGTTGGGCGGCTTGGGGGTGGCGGTGCTGCCGCCCCCGGCGTCAACAGCCGCCTCCGGGTAGTCTTTGGACAGACTACGAGGAGCCCTCTCCTGCCAGCCAACCTCCAACTGCAAGAGACGACGGTGTCATTGAAGGGGAAAGAGTACATACTATGAATAGTTCCAATCTTAAGGTAAACCTTTACTTCGACGATGGTACACAACTACCCATCCTTCCTTACTAGTAAACCTTGGTAACCCGAGGAACTCTTTTCTAAGTAACTTTATTGGCCTTTAAATTACGTTTTTGACGCCCTTCAAATTACAACTGCGACCCTCAAAGTTCCTAAAATATACCAGAAGCCATTCGGTTAGGTCAACAAATTTGTTGTAATAGATTTGCGGGGTTTGCGCCCATTTATTACTGCCTGGTGACATCCAGGACTCGTCATAACGTATAATGTTGACACACACACACGCACGCAATCGTCTTGGAGATCAAGTCCGACGTTTCAGGAACCCAAAAAACTTTCCCCTTCTTCAAAATTTAAAACTTAATATCTGTCCCACACGCGGGCCAAACGCCTAACCACGACCAATTGAAAAATGTTTCTGCACCCACCACTAGCCTAGGCTGTAGGACATTTAGCAAGAATGCATAGCTAATCCACACAGCAAAATTATAGGGAAGAGTTACCAAGCCCCAAACCCCCGGAGTTGAATTGCAATAAAACATCCTTTCAATAAAAATTTCGAAATTATTTCGTTGTACAATCAACTTTTATGTACGGTAAATTTCCCATAACGTTTAACTTATACGTGATTCACTCGCGTCGAGCAAAAAGTAAGAAACATATCAAATGATTATTTCCAAAATACAAAACTGAATCAAGATATTTGCAATTGATTGAGACATAAAACCCCAAACTTGTACATTTACATACAAACACAATGTACCCGATGAAACTCTACATAATACACAGGTCGTTTTGTCCTCAATCAAATAGCTTCGAAGCCGTCATTCTTCACAAGTTACACAGAATGCGACCGATGCAGGAATCTACCCTTATTAGGACACATCCCCAATTAGAGAATCTTTCCCGCAAACTCTCATGGGAAGATCATCGGCCGAGTCGGTTGCCCCGTCTTTGCCATTTTGGGCGCGGTTTTTGCCCATTCGAAAATTACGCACTGAGTAAATTGGCGCTCTAGTTCTTCTTCGAAGGTTCCCGTGATTGTTTGCCAATTTGGAGGCGATTATCAAAGATGTCGAACTTGATGGATGATGGTGAAACACCAAACATAAAAAATAGTGAACATTTTGTATTGTTTGCAACAAGATTTTTTCTTAAAGGTATCTGGCGATTGTTAAATTTGAAAGTAAATACTCTCAACAGAACTGTAATATCGAGAAGATAATATCAATTTTCGACCATGCTAACAATAAAAATTCATAATTTGTATGTATGTGCTCAAAATCTATATACAGTACCTACTTTAAGTCGACTTCTTATCACGTAAGTAAAACTTAAGCTTGTTATGATTATGAAGTGAGTTTGAATTCCGATATACTTGTTAATTACACGATTTTCTCTTACATTACAATAAATTTAAAACACCATGGTTAGAAATGGTTTGCAAGTAGATCGTGATTTTCGCTCGCGGTCGTTTTAAATGTAACCTATTCAAATGATAAGGGGAACCCTCGGGAATTAAACAGAAGAAACCGACAAATAAATACACATTTAATAATTATCGACATATTGACAGAAACATAAACATACTGAAGAATTGATAAATTCTTTGACTGTTACTGGACAGGATGTCATGGCCACAGACATGATGAAATGTCAGACATAGTAACGAAAATGATGGGTTTTATTTACATTCCGGCTACATTTAACTAAAATAACTTATGTTTTCACTCTCTAACTTACAGAATAATGTAGTAAATATATAATATTCCCTACAAAAAATTTAGCAAATCCATTTTGAAGAACATTTTAATGTGTAGCCCTAATTTTGCTGCTCGACGAAAAAGAGAAAAATACCGTGTGACCTAAATTAACTTGGAAAACTATTTTGAAGGTTGAAATGAAAAAAAGTATTGTGATGGGAATTAATTATTCCCTAACAATACAAATCCACCGAAACGGCAACAAATTATCATTAGTTGATTAACGAACCCCTAATCAAAGTACAAACAAAAAAGTGAAAAATTATTCGATTAAATTCCCAAAAGGAATTCCACAGAAGGACCCCTTCAGGAGCTGAAAACATCCTTTCGCGGAGCGAAGAATAATAAATTGGTTTCTAGAGGAAGCATTGAAATAGGACCAATTTTAACTGGGCGGGGTGGGAGGAGGGAATTAATTTGTATTTCCATTATAGTTTGGCCCGCCTTTGCTAGACATGCTACCTGAATCTGAACCCGGGGGTCAAGGGCACTGAAAATTGGATTCTCAGCCCGTCCAAAATTAGCCAAGTCCCATATTGTTTGGTTGGAAATTAGAAATTGTTTTGATTATTTTGGAATCTGGTTTGATTGTTTTTCTGCACTCATCACTGTTCTGTGTAATTCACAAGGCTACGTTATTTTTGCACCCCTACGTTTTTTAGTGCTACTGTTCCAAAAATGAAAACAACAGAGGTTTCCGTAGTTGAATAAAATATAGCAACTAAGTTTTGAAATGAGAATGAACGGAGAAACTATTAAGTGTTCATGTTACCAGTTGGTTAAACCATAGAATAAATTAACACCAATGATTATATCCCTTCATCTATGGTTAAACACTCATCATTTTCCCATTTTCCCTTTAACACATCCTAGCGTGTCGTCAACACGTCTGAAGGAGTGAAAATTTTAAATCTTATCTTTTCATTGTAAGCCTATATTTATCTATTTATTAATTCAATCGGCAGTAGTGTCATTTAAAGAAACAGAATTAAAGAATTCTAATGACTAACAAACAAGGATAAAAATTAACATCTAATTAAAGAAAATCTCTACTATCCTGTAGGAAAGAATCCACTAAGTTAAAGGATTTGTTTAGTTTGATCTTTCATATTTTTCAAACTAGTATTTTTAAAGTTATTGCTGAAATTAAATCTAACTTTCTAAGAAACACCAGACAGCGAATTATCAATTAAATTTTTAAACTTTTTACATTGCAGGTATCAATAACGGAACTTGTATTTCATTATTAGCATTGACTTTAAAGTCAATGTTATTAGCCTATTGATATTGCCTCAATTAATTATTGTAACATCATACGTTTATTTAAGATCTTATACTAGCCAATCTCTTATTGATGTCTAGGTTATTTACAGTTTAAGACAATTGTTTTATCAAGGCCAGCGATTTCTTGCCGATAACTTTTCAAACGTCAGTGGAGCATTAGTTTTCCATGGATTTTAACCATCTAATTAAGTGCCAATACAAAATATATTTAAAACAAGACACACAACTACAGGTAGTTAGTTATATTCGTAGATTAGAATAATGTTGCACACTATGAAACACTCCCTCTTTGAACGGAAGCTTAAGGAAAAGTCTCTATTTTAAAACTTGAAGTTCAATTAAGCTAGGTAGGTACGGTACTGTTTTATTTCCAAGATAAGCAGATAGGCTGGGATGAAATATTTGTTTGATCAAAAATGCTACAAAATCTCAGACAACTGTATTATTCAAAAATAGTATTCTTTGGGAATTTTTTTTTAAACTTGCCAGTAATATTACATGTTTGAACATTACATTTTCAATTTTATTTTAGCAAATTTGCTATAGCAAATTGTATCATTTTAAAGTTGTGTATAGCAAAATGCTATAATGCTACCAGGCCGCAGCCAGCTTAAACCATAAACCCTAAAGACACGATCCAAAGACTTTTTGCCACCATCTTCATAATTATAATTAGGCTACTTTTGATTGTTCTTGCTACTTTGCCATCCTGTACCTCTACCAACCACCGTTTTCGTGATAACCAAGGTTCATTTACTACCTACTTAGATTTTATTAATGGGTAATCTGCAATAGCTAACAGAGATTTATCTGGGACAGTTTATCTCTATAAATCTTTTAAAAGGTCTATAGAGTACAAAATTCAAATTGTTTAATATATCGTGTTTTAACACGCATTTCAATCCAATTAAACTGCAATGTCTTTATTGGTTAAATCATGTTACGGTTATTTTGTTTTCTATCATACTTTGTTGGATCTGGGATGGGTTGGTTTTATTTAGTTAATTCGTTATTTGTTATTTAGACTACCGGTACCTAGGTTGTCTTATTAGCCTATTATAAGTAGGCCTAGGTATTAGCCTATATTAGCATTAATCTACCTACCGGTAGATTTCACTTAACTAAAATTATTTTCATTTATTTATTCTTCCATCGGTACCTACATACTAGTTTAGATAATAAATGTACAAATTGCTGACAAAAAGAGTTGAAAAAAGCAAGAATTAACAAGTATAAAAGCATTTCAAAACAATATAAATAATTAACTTATTGTATAACATACATGGTCGGTACAAACATTGCCATTAAATTAATAATCAGGAAAGATGTAATAATTAACATGGTTTAATGAATATAAAATATGTAGGGGCGTTTGGAGATTAAATGAACTTTAGTCACTTTCAAATTTCACCGTTTGGCGCCAAAGCACACTATTGGTGCAACCCACTGTTGCACACTACAGTACAATAACCCACTTTCACGTCATGCAGTTAATGAATAAGGAATAAAAATACTCACACAACTACCTAAAAGTGTATATAAATCTTACCTCGTTCTTAGACAACTGCGGAGCAACAGTGTCATTTCTTTGGTAGAAAAATAAGGAAAGGTAGGCAGTTGCAGCAAGAAGGGTCAACGCTTGGAGAAAGGTCTTCAGCCGTGGCATTATTAAAGTCACAATCACTAAACAAACCACTTCAGTTACTACATTATTTACACTAAACACGTCACTAATGCACTACAACACTAACACCGCGAATAATGTTCTGTGACAACGGTAACAGTTGACGGACGACTGAGTGGACATTGCGTTCAACAGGTGTTCCGTGGACGCGGCCATTTTGTAAACAAACTCCCCTCTTTCTCCCCACCCGAGCTGTTTTCTTCTCCTTCTTCCGCAATCTCAGCTGACCAACTGATGCTGAAGAACCAACTAGCGCTTCCTGTGAGAGAACAAGCTAACTAGAATAGTTTACAGGTTAGCCGCTAGGATTGTTGTGGCCGTCGGTAAAGTAGATTCCCTATCCATGCTGTATAATTTATTACTGCAATCGTCTATGGACTTTTGTACCTTTGTAGTAGAGTGATGATTATTTTTATAAAATGAAATTATTTTGACTGTGGTACATATTGTTGTTATATGGTACCTAGTACAATACTGCAAACAAATAAATGAAAAATAGGCATTTAATGTTGGTAGAAACAATATAATTAAAACATTGTTGAGAAATGTAAATACTTATCGACTTATCCTGATTTAATAACGCAACAACTTGCATCCTTTATTTAGTGCCTTTGTAAAATTAATAATTATGTATATCTTCTTCTTATATATTAAACAAGATTGAAATCTCAAATTGAAGGCATGCACTCAAAGATTTTACATCAAGCACCGACATATTTACCTACAGTACTGTATTACTCAACCAAATACATAATTTGATTCATTTTTGAATTCTTACTTCAATTTAAGATGTATTTCACCAGTTATAATCCTATATATTTTGGTCTAAGAACCTTCAGTGAAATACCGGCTTTCATTTTAAGTTATTCAAATCGAACGAGTTTCAAGCAAACGCGAGGTGAACAACCAACATAAAAATTATTTTTCATAAAGTTTTTCTATGATTAAAAATCAATAGCTGTATTGTTCATGTTTTTTTAGATGCTTTAGACTCAAAATAATCAGTAAATTATAGGCTTGAATTGAGCTATTGTTCATTTGAATCAGTTAAGTTTGAGTATTTCTCGGATATTATATTTATTTTAACGCTGCGGATCAGCATGGGTCCTCTAGTTAATTGTTTTTTTTTTTTTTAAATCATATATTAGCCGATATTATTAAATTGTTCTTTATTGCTTTAATTGTGGTCTTTGATCAGGCACAAAGAAAGGCTTGATCATACAACAGAATAAAAATAGTTAATTGTTGTTTGCTTACTGCTTTTTATAACTGATGATAATAAAACTACTACTGAAAAAAAAACACATTGGGCCTAATATAATTGTAATAGGAAGAAATATCGATAATTATCGTTAAAACATAGATGAAGTAATATAATCTAATTCTATTATAGATTAAATCGATTATATAATTCTATGTACATGCGCGTGAGGCCGGCCAAGCGGCCAAGGACAAACCACTTGTATCTTATTCGTATCGATCTTAGTAGGCAGTCTGGTGTTGTCCTTGGCCGCCCTCACGCTCATGTAGGCCCTACATGTTTTTGTATTATACATGTTTTCGTATGTGTTTAAGTGTATGTGTGAAGTAATTTTGACCACGGCTTGTGCAAGAGAATATGTTTGACATATGACGACCGAAGAGAAGATTTGAAAATGGGGTTTTAACCCTGAAACTATAGCCATCCACGACAATCTAGGCTATATTGTCGTATAAGACTGATTGACGACAGGTTAGTAACCTCATTTTCCTACTAATAGTATAAATGAGAAAGTTTGGATATATGTATGTATGTTTGTGACAAGTAAACACGAAAAATACTGGTCAGATCGAGCTGAAATTTGGTGTGATGATAGCCCACATTCCCGATTAACATATAGCCGCATTCTTATCTCAAAAGTCCTTTCGCGCTCAGCCCCAGTGGCTCTGGAGTTTCCCATGTTAACCTTATGAGTAATCATATTTATAAGGAACTAGCTGTTGTACCTTGTACCCATGCCTTGCAACGGGGAGAGGACACAAAATAGAAACATTTTGATCTTAACATTTGTTGTAATATTCTATACTGAAGTTTTATATTAAATTTAATAGTACTGCACCCTGTTGGTAACTTTTAATACTATTTAATATCAAAGAACCAACTTGTGATTTGAAACAACTGACGAAATTATTTAATTCCTTTGAAATATGATTACTTATAAGATTAACATGGGAAACTCCAGACTAGAGCCACTGGGGCGGAGCCCGAAAGGACTTTTGAGATAAGAATGCGTCTATATGTTAATCGGGAATATGAGCTATCATCACAACAAATTTCAGCTCAATCCGACCAGTATTTTTCTCGTTTACTTGTCACAAACATACATCCATACATCCAAACTTTCTCATTTTATTAGAAGGACTAGCTGTAACCCGCGGGCTTTGCCCCGTTTAACTTCTTAATTTTCAAGATTATCTCGTTCGCATGGCTCAATCACGTCCTGGTTGAAGTTTGTTCGCTACGCTCACTCACCTTTAGGTTGGAGCTCGTTCGCTGCGCTCACTTGCCTTCAGGTTAACTCGTTCGCTACGCTAACTCGCCTCCAGGTTGAAGTTTGTTCGCTACACTCACTCACCTTTTGGTTGCAAATTAGCTGTTGTCATAAATGTAAAAGAAATAATAGTGCTGCACCCTGTTGGTAATCCTTGTAACTTTAATGCTATTGAACATCATAGAATAGAACCAACTTGTTTAATTGAAACAGCTGTTAAGATTCAATAATTCCATTTCTCATAAGGTTAACATGGGAAACTGCAGAGCCACTGGGGCGGAGCCCGAAAGGATTTTTGAAATAAGAATATGCCTATATGTTAATCGGGAATATGAGCTATCATCATGCCAAATTTCAGCCCAATCCGGCCAGTATTTTTCGCGTTCACTTGTCACAAACATACATCCATACATACATCCATACATCCAAACTTTCTCATTTATAATATTAGTAGGATAAAAGAACTTTGTCAGCTGTTTCAACTACACAAGTTGGTTCTATATGATATTAAATAGCATTAAACAGTTATAAGGTTGCAGTTAAAAAGCAACAGGGTGCAGTAAGTACTATTAATTATTTTGCATTTCGTGTCCTCTTCCCGTTGCAAAGCACGGGTACAACAGCTATGTAGGCCTAATATATTTTAGAGATCTCAAATGTTTGATACCACGAGGGAAACAACAAACAACATGAAGGTATTTGCAACAACATTTATTCATCATTTACCCTTGCCCCAACTTTTTTTCCCGTAACCGCCGTAGCCTTTCTTCCCTCCTTTTCCTCCTCCACCACATCTTGCGGCTTTCGCTTTCCCTTGTGTATCGGGTTCCGGCTGGTCCTCTATTTCACTGGTTGGTGTCTTTGCTATCGTTGATGCCTTCAGCACAGTTTTTGTCCTTACAGGTGATCCATTTTGTGATGCAATCTTTGTTTGGTGTTCTGTTATTTCCGAAGGTTTGAATTCAGCTTCATTGTTTATTATCTAAAAAAAATGTTCAATTTTTAAATGTAATACAACCACAAACAATTACGTAACTAAGTTTATAAGTTGGCTCAGATGGAAGCACCAGACTGTGGTAATACAGTCATAATTGGGTTTGTTGTTGGTTCTGAGACTGCCGCTCGAAATTTATATAATTTTCACATTTACTGACTCATAGCTTTGCATGATAGACTTCAGCATCGGCCTTTGACTTTAGAAGCCCTTGGAGACTGGGAAATTCAAGAGGCCACCAACCATCTGTCTAAAGAATACCTAATTCAAAGTACAGCAATAGGAGGGACTTTGGGTTTATTCAACCCCACCCCACCCCCTGATGACAGCACCCACCAAAACAACACGGGGATTGCCCAACTCCGCGCAGTGGTCAAATTTAATCCGAGGAAAAGTTTTATGGCCCCCGAAGGGTTCATCCCAACTCCGCGCGGTGGTCACTTTTAGTATCAAGTCCAACTCCGCGCGGTGGCCATTCCTAATATCCAAATCTAATCAAAATACGCTCCTTTTACAGGAAATTACAACAATTTACTTATTCTCCATAAGAATAACATGGGAATTATAAAATTAAAATTTGTTGGCATTTTTTCTGTAACCATTATGGCGCATAATAACACTTCGATATACTAAATTATTTGTCTTTAAGCTCTACAAATTGCTTTCAAAAGAAATTGCAAAAATGTATGCTTTTAGGGTCAAAATTGGGAAAACTCGATTTTTTTCCATAAACCCCAGTTTCCATGGTCCGATCGTGCTGGTTCGTGAACTCGTTCGAATAAATGTAGGTTTAACGTTCATATCAAATTTAATCAAAATTGGATCATTTTTGCTCGAATTATCGTGCTAACGGACATATACATTTTTATATGAATTCTAACGGATGGTGTTTTCGGCCTTTGGGACATAAAAACGAAAAATTAAATCAGTGGGTCCAGGTCTTACCATAATACCTACGGTAATAACTTATTCCCTATATGGGAAATTCGCTAAAGCGTTGGTCTGGGTCTGGCTTCAATGAAAATCCTCTTCATAGACGTCAAATTCGCCATTTAATAAGACGTAAAAGAAATATTTTAGCTTATTATACAAGCAAAATTATAGATTCACAACTGGAGGTGAAACTTAAAAACCACTATGTAAGAAGTTCAAAAAGTCCGTGCGAAGAGTGGATACGTATGAAAGTTTCTGAAATTCACAGTTCACAATTATTTAATATGCTAATACATTTTATTAATGATTTCATGAGCTTTACGTTACACTTGTGTGCTGCGATCACGGATTTTACCTTTTATACAGCAATATACTGCAAATTTGCTGTAATCTCTTTTTTTGCAATTTGAGGTGTGAAGCTAACTGTTGTATGAAACAGAGATTATAGCTAATTTGTTATAGCAATCTGCGGTTGTATACAAAACTAATATTTTTGAACTTGGTACTAAAGTTCAGAGAGCTCATAAGCCCAGTAATATGAATGAGTGAGTATTGTAGAATTTGGAACGTATAAATTCACAGTCACTCTTTCTCACGGACTTTTTAAAACTTCTTATATTAGTGGTTTTTAAGCTTCATCTCCTGTTTTAGGTATTCTTATCTCTTTACTTTCCTATAAACGATAAACATAACATAAGGTATAACACAATTTCAAAGTTCAACACCAACTCTCAGCCGTCAGGGCTGTGAGAGCCAAAATTGACCACTGCGCGGAGTTGGACATGTGCCGGAGGGATCCGAAGTGACCACTGCGCGGAGTTGGACAGTCGGTTTTGACAGATTTCTGACCACTGCGCGGAGTTGGGATAAGCCCAACAACACAACTAGGAAGTGATTGTTATCTGGGCCATGGAAAAATTCTCAGAAGGAAGAACACTTACATTGAGAGGAAAATTCAGTCTTTTCGACGTGGTTTGTTTTTTCTCATACTAAAAATTTTGTGAGATTACTTTGAGGATGACAACACAAAAACACAAAACGAAATGTATAGTTTTATATATTGAGGCATAAATATTGTAATAATTGTTCAATCCTAGATCTAGGAAAATAATTTTTAGAAGTAAAATATATTTATAATTTCTACATGTGAGCAAAATACTTCAAAAAAGCAAAATTTTCTTCAAGCATTTTAAAAGGGCGATTTATTTTAAACAACATAATCTAGTAGTATCGGTTAGCCCATGAAAAATCAAAAATAGAATATAGAACTTTAATATTAGCACTCTATAGGCTCATTAAACAAACCCATTCAAACCGTGTGTTTCGAGTAAAAAAACTGGCTTCTAAAAATGTAATATATATTCTAAAAATATTTATAAATTTACAAGTAAGAAAAACCAAAGTAGGAAACATTAAACTTGAATTTTTAAATAATACAGAATTGTATTTTGGTAAGTTGACCTTAAAGATAATTTTAATTTATTCACACAAACCTTTTCAGCGAGTACAACCGCGCAGAGGGTGCAGAAGAAAACAAACAATTTGAAGCTGTACATGGCTGCAGATACCAACTGATAATTGGAATCTGGATTCACACTTATATCCATAGTTTGAGTAAACCAACCGACGCCATCAAAATTGACTGACATTGATGTTGACGCATCCACCTGTCACTAAATGCAACAGTTTTCCAAATATTTGCGTCCTACTTCCTACATTCCCACATGCAGCGTCTTAGTGTAGTTTGTTCTGCGTAGACACTGCAGACATTTTAACGTGTATTATGATTGTTATAATTTGTTGTTATACTATTTTAAGTAGTTAATTATGCAAATTATGAATATTGAAAACCCAATTGAGCTGACATATAACAACCTTTAGGCACACGCGCGCGCACACACTGCTCTCTCTCACTCACACATACTCACTCCAGTGAAAAAATTTAGTCTGGAACTGCCATATATACCTTGGTTTTACATAATCGAAAACTATAATACCTACTCACATATAACAATAGAAATACCCACATAGAATCAAGAATCGAGAATTTATTGACAATTCAACAATTACATGCTATCAGTCTGGTGTGTAAAGACGCGACGGAACTTTGTAGAATGTAAAGGCCTACTCTATATACTGTATATGTATATAGAGTTACTCTATATACATATACAGTATACAGAGATTCTAGTGCTAGAGGTCTTAAGACTGTATGAAAGCAATTTCGAGGTTAGAGAACGAAAAGGTCAAATGGTATATCAAATACCCCCACTGCAGCTAACCTGCCGACTAAGCGAATTACCATTTGCCTGGATTGATGTTCAATTAATCTATTAAATTAATATTTATGTTTAATGAATACCTAGGTTTACTGCTACAGGGAAACTAATAAAGTGTGTTTTTATCAAAATATTAATAGCTTAGTATAAAATAAATAAATCTACCAAGTTTGATTAAAATATATCCATAATCAAGCCAACTACAACATCTATCTATCTATATGTATAATACGCTAAGCTGATTTTTGTGAACAGAACTCCTCCCTCATTTTTGGACAGATTTTGATGATTAAAGTGTCAAAAAAATGGCCCTGATCTATAGTTTTGCAAAGTGTTTTTCATTTGATGAAATCTTTATTAGTTTGGGCAGGATCTTCCATCAAAGTTGGGGTTTCTCCCATAAGATTAACATCCTCCGAGTCCCTGCCCCTCTCTACCGATAATCCGAATGCAGTCGCAGTGTAAGGAGGCGCATGCGAACGAAAACGAGAAGGCGGAAGAAGGTGCAAGAGAGACAGATGTAATGTGACCTTGACTCAAAACCGGTGGCGTAACATATCGTAATGTGAGTCCGCAACAACAATGTATTCACAATGCAGTACCAATACCAGCTTCAGATGGCGTTTGTGGAAAACCTGTTGTAAACAAAACTATCACACCACATAGTTGAGAGAATACCAATCTAGCACTGACTTCTCATCCAACAACAAGTATTAACATCTTTTATATAGTTTTAATGTTCACCGAATCACTTTGAGAAAATCCGATGACGTGATCAAATCTTGGACAATCTGACGTAATTCGCTGTTCCCGGCACCGAAAAAATCTGAAGGTCGCGTTTCCGACAGTTATGACCTCGAGTAAACCCCGATGTTTTGTACAGTTAGAATTGCGATTCGCGACACTACGGCTCTATGTAAAAAGCCGACATAATCTTCAATACAGCAAACACCGAAACATTTCGCTGTTCGCGAAGGTTGGTTGATCAGTTCCTCAGGCGGCCACTGTGCGCCGTGCGCGCAGTCGGCGGCGTCGACGCGATACCAATCTTAATCAGCTGTTGCTGTTAGTAGCCTTCTAGGTTGGCGTGTCAACAGTTACTCAATCGGTTTACTTGCTCTATTTACAATATCTTTAAACGAATGTTCAAACTCAATGTTGGTTTGTATACACAACGATGTATACAATTAATTACAACAACCACAACCTCAAAGAATGACTGTAGCGCTCCTAGTGAGTGATTGAGGAAGCTTTCTCACGCGCATGCGCAAATCGTTAGGGTGGGGCTGGAAGTGAAGAAGAAGAAATAAAAATAAGCGGTCACTTGCGCAATGGCCGCCTATCTATTACGTTCACTTCACTTTTACTTGTGATTCTGACTTCAAGAGTTTAACGTTTGGTCGGACATTAAATCCTACGTTCTTGTAACCATTATTTCAAAGGTTAGTGTTTCCTCTATTTTTATCATGAGCCACTTGGTGGCTAAACAAATGGAGTTTATAAAATAAGACGGAATCCTTTTGGAGTCCTGAAGTTACATAATGGCAACCATTGTAATTTTAAGAAGTTATATTATCTTGATTGTCTTGAACGAACATATAAAGTTTTGTTTTGTAAAATACAAATAAAATAGATTCTAAAACTTCTGCTTTATAGTGTTTTTCAAAATACCGAAACACTCAAGGTCGACCAAGTTTTAAAATGTATTTATGGCGTTTTTCCTTGTGTGTTTCCGCCAAAAGTGAGAACAACATATACTGTGTCTGTTTGGGAGTGGCATAAATACCTAAAAAAATAAATATTTTTTCAAGTAAAATATCTCTTTCCACTTAAATTAGACACACTCAAATGATTAATATTAAAACTTAACTGCAATTTTTGTTTTTATAGACAAAACAACACCGTATTTTGATTATTAAATGAAAAATACGTTGGTTCACTTGATATATTAGGCATAAATGCAATGTTATTTGAATTTAAAAGCTATAATATTTTTGGTTTAGTTTCTTAGAACAGACTTTTGTTTTAATAATAATATTAATTCAATTTAATTTTAAAATTTTATCGAAGTTTTGATGTGTGACGGTTGTGAGTGCAGTGTGACGGTTGTGAACGTGTTGTGACGGTTGTGAGAATATACACTAATTATGGCATTTAGTCAAATATGCACCTTTTTACACCTTAGATGAAAACCACCTTACAAAATGTGGTTGATGAATTAGTTTAAATACGATATTTCCTGTCGTTTAACGTAAACGGCAACAGGTAACCTGAAAGGTGTTGTGGAAGCCTCCATTTTTTTTGTTCATGAGCTGTATTTATGTTAAAAGCCTCTTTTCACCTAAAAGGAGATTGAGAGGATATAACATTGGCAGAGGCGGCCCTACATAAAGGAAAACAAGGCAGTGCCTGGGGCCCTGCGCCTTTTGGGGCCCCCGAATAGCCCTATTTCAGGTATAAGAGAGAGAGAGGCCTGCTATTGAACATCGCCATGGGCTCCGCATTCTCTAGGGCCCGGGGGGCCCGCCCTGATAGTAAATAGCACTCGGTTCACGTTCACACTGCTGCCAGCCTTACCCTGACTACTCAAGGCATAATCTGAAGGAGTATTTTGTTGTTGTATTTATTTACATTTGCAAAACGGGAAAATCACTCAACTACAAGTTGAAATCACCCTTTTAGTTGTTGAGATCCTGGCCGATTAAAACCAATTTTTCCTAGTGCAGGCGGGTGCCTCCCAACCACCAGCGCCATTGGGCATATGCCCAGTCTACCCTTTTATAAATGCCGGCCTGGGGAAGATTTCCGTGATGGGGTCAAAATTGGGTTTTCCTATTTTTGACCTAAATAATATAAAATTTACCTATTTCTTTCCAAACCATTTTGTAGAGCTTAAAAAAAAAACCAATAACTTATAGTATATTGAAGCGTTATGCGTCAAATGGTTACGGAGAAAATTCCAAAAAATTGTGAACTTAAAATGTTCATGTTATTCTATGGAGAATAAGTTAACTGTTGTAGTTTGCTTGTTTATGAACATATTTTGATTGCATTTGGAAAATACATTCATTTCTTACTAAACTATTAACATAAAAAACCCATTTTTGTTCTCCCTGTTGCAGCAAACCTAAGTAGGCCTACTTGTTAAACTAATTCTATTTTAAAAAGGGAATAAATGTGACATTTTAAGGAGACATTTAAGTGTAAATACAATCAGGCAAATGGAAATTCAATTAGTCTGAGGCTTGCTGTGGGGGGTATTTTACTCAGTGCTAGTAACTGCACTTGAAGCATGTGTTTTTCAATAGTTTCTTCTGAATTTTGTATACTTTCTTGGTGCAATAGTATCTCCCCCTACCCCGAACCTTACATTATGTAGGAAATATATGAACTCAGCCATCAGTTTGCTCCAGCTGCTACAAAGCTAGAACCATGGACAATATAATACTTAGAACCATGACCTCATTATAGCCTATCAGCTGCTTGTGTAGGCCAAGGTCAAGTCACTGCACTCTTGTTCAGCCAATTTTGTGAGCTAACAAGTATAATCTCCCCCCCCCCTCTGCAAACCTGCAGACTAAGCGAATTTCCAATTCCCTGAATATTAGATGATTACAAAAATATTTTCTCGAATGTATCAGATAAACAGTACTGTATTCCTTATTTAAATTAAATTAGGTTAAACTAGTACTACAAGGTTTGATGCGTTATGGCTTTTAATACAGTTTTTGTAGGTTAATAACTTAGCATGAAATTTGATCATAGTATAGGCCTATCCCAAAACAAGCAAACTACAACAGTTTACTAATTCTTTACATCAATAAAAGTTTGAGAATATTAAACATAATTTTTTTGAGGATTTTCTCCCATTTATTTCCAACGGAAAACCCGTTACATTTATTCATAATACAATAACAAGGCAAGATGTTCTAATTCTATAAATATTCAACATCAAGTATGTCCATCTAATAACATGAAAAGTGATTAACGCTATATACTAATTACAGCAATATGCTATTTTTATAAGTTTCACAATGTAGTTACGACAGAAATAGTAAAATTTTATGTGGGTCAACAAAAGGCAAAACTAAGTTTTACCCCATAAAACTTTGTTCCGATAATCTGCGGTCGTCTTATGTAATAAAAAAACTTAGATTTACACGTTTGTGCGATATTAAACAAAATTGGATAGTTTTTACTTGAGTTATCTTGCTTAGGATTAAAATTTTCAGAACTTTTGTCTGAAACCCATCATTACAATCGGTTTTGAGTATAATGGTGGCACATGGCGCTTATTGTGAAAATTTTCAAAGATTTGACAAAATATTACTTACCTGATCAGGTATTTATTTGCTAATGGATTATACTAATCTGCTGGTAGTATTTGGTACTATTATCTACAACTAGAAGGATTTAACCCCTTATGATTTCCAAAAGAGAGGCAGTGGCAGCGGCTATCTTTGTGTTCATAAGAGAAACATGTCCATCTAGTAAAACGAAGGGGACAGTGTCCCTCTTACGCCATAAATGATTTCATTTCATGTTTTCAAGCAAATAAATTACGTTTGATTACGGTATTTAAAATTCAACGAACTACAAGGTTGTCCGTAAATAAAGGTCTCAATTAATTGAGCCAGATAACACCTGAAAAGAACGTTGATATTTAACAATTTCAAAGGCCTTTGGTAAATCCATAAAAATCCCTAAAGTGTGTTTCCCTTATCTACTGACTCATCACAATCTCATAACAAAATCTGTTGCTGCTGTTGTCATTGACATTTACCCCGAAATCCGTGTTGAATATGATTGAGAAGTTTATTGTTATCTAAAAATTCTGTCAACTGATTACATACAATTTTTTCAAAAGCTTGATATATTTGATATTGATAACAGTGAGTTTGGTTGATAATTAATTATATTATCTTTATCACCTATCTTTTTTAAAATTGGGATGACTTTTGAGATCTTTAACTTATTTGGAAATAATCCTGAAATAAAAGAAGAACTGATGAGGTGAGTTAAAACTGGGCAAAGGTATTTTTTGGATTTATTTAATACAGAAGTATGAATTTCATCAAGCCAACTTGAAAATTTACTTTACGACTGACGATGTCGATGATGTGGGAGATTAATGAAGACCTCGGATATCCCACGTATTATTTTGTCATGATAAATTTTACTTATTCATTAATGATATTTCAAATCAATTAACTGGTGCATATCAATTTTTCATTATTTGATGGAACTTCCATGATTTTACAGACCTAAATATTTGTTTCAGGTTGCTGTTTCGAGAGCCAATCTATCCATCAATAGATCAAACCTACAGTGACGTTTCTAAACCAACTACGCCTCAAACGTAAGACATCAAGGTTTGAAGTATCAAGTCTTTTCTTCAAAGAAGTTGTTAACTGCCAACAGTTACAGTGCTAAACTAGTTGTGACATTTATAAGCCAACTACTCTGTTGATAGTGACGCATCAAGTCAAGTTTGTAATAGAAAGTCTTTTCTTCAAGAAGTTGTGACTACCGACAGTTACAGTGCTAAACTAGTTGAGACATTTATAAGCCAACTACTCTGTTGATAGTAACGCATCAGGTTTGTAATAGGACGTCTTTTCTTCAAGAAGCTGTGACTATCAACAGTTACAGTGCTAAACTAGTTGAGACATTTATAAGCCAACTACTCTGTTGATAGTGACGCATCAGGTTTGTAATAGGAAGTCTTTTCTTCAAGAAGCTGTGACTACCAACAGTTACAGTGCTAAACTAGTTGAGACATTTATAAGCCAACTACTTTGTTGATAGTGACACATCAGGTTTGTAATAGGAACTTTTTTCTTCAAACAACACAGGAGAACACAATCGGTTGATTCGTGGGGGTATCCTGTTAAAAATGTGTCATTAAAGTTACCAAGGAAAATCTCAGGGGGTGATGTGGTTTTTACTGAGGATTTTCATAACTCTATATCAGCATCTGTGACTCTTACAGAGAAATTCCCTAGTATCTATTAAGGATTACCATTCTCCACTACAGAATAAACCTAATCCAGAAAAAATCCCTAGATCACTCAGTAACATGAACTCCATTGGTGGCTTACCTTCTGCTCCTTCGCCTACTCATAGTGATGTTTTATCAATGGCAAGAGAATTTTCAGAAGAATGGAGCATGATATCCCCCATACATTTTCCTGCTGGCCATCAAGAGAAGTCTGAAGATATTTCTATTCCTCAAAACTTAGTCACTGCTTCACCTCCACTCTACATTGGTGGCTTACCTTCTGCTCCTTCGCCTACTCATAGCGATGTTTTATCAATGGCAAGAGAATTTTCAGAAGAATGGAGCATGATATCCCCCATACATTCTCCTACTAGTTATCAAAAGAAGCCTGAAGATATTCCAATGCATCCTCACAATCAAGTCACTGCTCCACCTCCACTCTACATTGGTGGCTTACCTTCTGCTTCTTCGCCTACTCATAGCGATGTTTTATCAATGGCAAGAGAATTTTCAGAAGAATGGAGCATGATATCCCCCATACATTCTCCAGCTGGCCATCAAAAGAAGCCTGAAGATATTCCAATGCATCCTCACAATCAAGTCACTGCTTCACCTCCACACTACATTGGTGGCTTACCTTCTGCTCCTTTGCCTACTCATAGTGAAGTTTTGTCAATGGCAAGAGAATTTTCAGAAGAATGGAGCATGATATCCCCCATACATTCTCCTACTAGTTATCAAAAGAAGCCTGAAGATATTCCAATGCATCCTCACAATCAAGTCACTGCTTCACCTCCACACTACATTGGTGGCTTACCTTCTGCTCCTTCGCCTACTCATAGTGAAGTGTTATCAATGGCAAGAGAATTTTCAGAAGAATGGAGCATGATATCCCCAATACATTCTCCAGCTGACCATCAAAAGAAGCTTGAAGATATTCCAATGCATCCTCACAATCAAGTCACTGCTTCACCTCCACTCTACATTGGTGGCTTACCTTCTGCTCCTTCGCCTACTCATAGCGAAGTTTTATCAATGGCAAGAGAATTTTCAGAAGAATGGAGCATGATATCCCCCATACATTCTCCTGCTGGCCATCAACAGAAGCCTGAAGATATTTCTACTCCTCAAAACTTAGTCACTGCTTCACCTCCACACTACATTGGTGGCTTACCTTCTGCTCCTTTGCCTACTCATAGCGAAGTTTTATCAATGGCAAGAGAATATTCAGAAGAATGGAGCATGATATCCCCCATACATTCTCCTGCTGGCCATCAAGAGAAGCCTGAAGATATTTTTACGCCTCCTCACAACCAAGTCACTGCTTCACCTCCACACTACATCGGTGGCCTACCTTCGCCTACTCATAGCGAAGTTTTGTCAAAGGCAAGAGAATTTTCAGAAGGGTTGATTATGATATCCCATCCCATACACATTCGAATTAGAGTAAGTTCAACAATTTTTTTCATATTTTTACTTGTGATAACAGATTAGACCATGCATGTGATTTAAACACAAAATCTTTTCCACTTTTGGGAAGTTATTAATTCAGTGTATTTGAGTATCATATTGTATTTGGGAAAATATCAAATGTAAATTAGATTAATTTCTTGATTTTGATAAAACAGCAAAATTTAGTTGAGGATATTCAAATGTATTAGAGAATTTATTAGGTATGTAATTTCATTTCAGAATGAGGGCTTTTAATTTAAGAAGTTTACAATTAAAATTGTGAAAAATATCCATATAAAAATCAGCTGAATTTTGAGTTTCTCACTATCAAATCACTCAGTTCTCGAATACAATTAACCATTTCTTAAGTAGAATTTACTGGGCTTAAATTAATTTGACGCCTTCTCAAACACAACTCAATCTTCTCAACTTAATTTTGTTTTTTTTCTAAAATATATTTTTTGACTTATCTCAAATTCAATTGAGATGTTCTGAAATAAAAATAACTGTTTCTCAAATAAAAGTGGAAATGGTATAGACAATCGATTTTAAGAGTGGTTGGTTTTAAAGAGGGTGTGATGTTTTGAGCAATAGTCTACTATTGTTTTTCTCTCCCTTAAACCTTGTTATTGAAAACTTTTAGTAAGATTTTGGTTCCACAAAACAGTTTTTAGACAAAATTAACAGATTACATAACACATTTATTACTAAGTGGTAGGTAACCAACCATACCTTGAATGGAGTGTGACAGCTAAGCTTGGAAGGGGACTTGCCAACTGGGTTTTATTCATGTAAGGTATTTAGATTATTTGTAAAATTGTAACACTAATATTTTAGTTATTTTGATATAAATTTAAAAAATAAATAATAAAAATACCTACATCAAATATTCATCAACTTTTGATATCTTCAGCAATAAATTAATATGGTTTCAGTTTTAAACATTAGTATATTAATTAACTTTATGTAACATATTTAAATTGCATTTAATATTAGAGTAAATAAGTCTTTAATTGCATCTATTGAACTAAAGTAAAAAACATAAAATACACAGATTTCCGATTTTCAAGTTTGCTGCCATTTTAAATAATGGAGGAAATTTTTAAACAACGGAACCAATATTTTTGATGCATTTTATGATATTTTTTCAGAATGTGAACAAGATTTCAAGACTCATTTACTCTTTGAATTTTCACTCTTAACTTACTCTTTTAGGAGATACATGATGCTAAATGTACACCGCAAGTAATTGTTCTTTTCTTTGTTCTTTGTCTTTTGTTCTTTGTTGTTGTTGTTGTTGTTGTTTTCTGGTATAACACACTGTAACCAAGGCCCCACTAGAAAAACAAGGCCATGCTGCAGGATTCATGATGTCACACTAGTGGATGGATTTCATTGATAAATTCATTGCCATCACCATTCCCATATGTTTTAGGTAAATAAACAAGCTGGCTGTTGGTAAGATTTTAGTACAACTATCCACCACTGTGACGTAGTGTTGCGCTGCCCGTGCTGCAGCATGGCCTGTTTTTTCTAGTGGGGCCTTGCTGTAACCCCCAAACGAGTATCAGCTGTCACTATACTTACATAAGACATTTCAAAGTTGGAGTATTGTTAGGTTAGTAGGGTTGAACATTTTACTTACAAAATAGAAAATACCCAATCCCAATTATACCTTTGATATAAAGAATCATATTCATAACTTTACAAGAGGTCATTTGATTTGTTTTTTTTCCAGTGGTAAGAACTTAAAAAATGTTTGTAGTTACCTGTTTTTTAGATCATCTGCCTGCAAGAAAAAAGCCTTCAACAAAATGTTAATTTTATGTATGTCATGATCACTCCTTATAATCCATGTGTGACTGTTGCAGAGTGTGTCAGAAATAAATAATCTCTCAAAAGAGGAGCTTTACTAGACTTCACCGAAGAGCAGCAGCAGACTACACTAGTGCTGACAAATGACCGAAATATTGAAGTTGAGAAGAAAGTCTCATTTCTACAATACTCGGTACCACTCACTAGTGCTGACATGCATTGCCGAAATAACAAAATGAGGATTTGTTTGGGAGAGGTGCCCTTCCCCCAAGGACATTTATAAGCCGACTCAGTTGACTCAGTTGATAGTGACTCGTCAGGTTTGTAATAGGAAGTATTTTCTTCAAGAAGCTGTGACTACCAACAGTTAGTGCTAAACCAATTGTGACATTTATAAGCCAACTACTCTGTTGATAGTGACTCATCAGGTTTGTAATAGGAAGTCTTTTCTTTAAGATGTTGTGACTACCAACAGTTACAGTGCTAAACTAGGGTTGACGTGTATAAGCCAACTAATCTGATGATAGTGACTCATCAGGTTTGTAATAGGAAGTCTTTTCTTCAAGAAGCTGTGACTACCAACAGTTACAGTGCTAAACTAGGGTTGACGTTTAAGCCAACTACTCTGTTGATAGTGACACATCAGGTTTGTAATAGGAAGTCTTTTCTTCAAGAAGCTGTGACTACCAACAGTTACAGTGCTAAACTAGGGTTGACGTTTATAAGCCAACTAATCTGTTTGTAGTGACTCATCAGGTTTGTAATAGGAAGTCTTTTCTTCAAGAAGCTGTCACTACCAACAGTTACAGTGCTAAACTAGGGTTGACGTTTATAAGCCAACTAATCTGATGATAGTGACTCATCAGGTTTGTAATAGGAAGTCTTTTCTTCAAGATGTTGTGACTACCAACAGTTACAGTGCTAAACTAGGGTTGACGTTTATAAGCCGGCTAATCTGTTGATAGTGACATCAGGTTTGTAATAGGAAGTCTTTTCTTCAAGAAGTTGTGACACCAACAGTTACAGTGCTAAACTAGTTGTGACATTTATGAGCCAACTACCCTGTAAATTTGTATATGTTCGATTGAATAAAAATGTTGTTTTACGTTTGAATGTTGTTATTAGATACCGTTATTAGCTTTAGTGCTAGTTTTCTATGTTAAAGGTTAAGCATATCTCTGTGATACCGAAGCACAAAAAGCAAACACGAGTTCAATTATCGTACAAAATGTATCTTTACACTCACATCTTGAGTTTAATTGTCATTTTGAATAATGAACTCTATTTTTAAGTCAATTTCAATCGTTCAAAAATAAATCACGATTGACTTTCAAGACCTAAAAGAAACATTTTCCAAGCTGTATCATGAAATATAAAATGAATATGAAATTATTTAGTTATTTGTTTAACTGCTGCATATGAAAGAAAATTTTCTCGAGTGTAGCAAAAGGCACTTTGGACAATAGACAATATTCTTTATCAAATATTCATTGATAATAGTAAAGTGTCATATTTAAAGGTGGGTTACAGAAAAATTTCGTTAAGGTCTTGAGGTTAATTCTTTTTCAGTGTAGAAGGGTCTTTCTAGCAGACAGTCTGTGGTTTATTAATGAGCCTTTGCACTTTTGCGGGGGCAGCCCCACGATTTTTTTTAGGTAGGCCTAATTAGGATCAAGAAAGGGTTTGATCGGGGGATGAGAGTTTTGAAGGGCTTTTCCGCAAAAAGAGGGGAATTTTAAAATTTAAATGGAATATAAATATTTAAAGTTTTCTCTTTATGTACAATTGTAAACCAAAAGGAACAAAAACACTGGTTTTGAAATTTGTTTCCCTTTGGAAAGATTACTGAAATATCTTGTTGCTTTGTTTGCTTTTAATAACACTCGCTGGGCGGAAATTAGATGAAGTATAAATTTACAACCTGGCAGAGATCACTTGGAATTTCACGACAAGTAGTTGACAAAAAAGTACCAAGAAGGTTGTCGCAAAACCAGTCAGTCGCGTGTCCGTTGTCTCCTGTCTCCAGCTGCAATGGAATTTACAATGGAATGAGAAGTCTACTTGTGTTGGTTAGTCTAACGTTTCGGCCAACCCAAGTTGCCCTGGTACTCTCGATGTCTCAGACTAGTGACAGGCTGTAGTCCGTAGGTCGGAGAGATAGAGAGAGGTGGCATGGAGAATCTTCCGTCCACGTTTCTGGTCAGATGTTTAAAGTCATTGGCCAGTAGATTCATACTGTCTGGTCTCTTGCTTCTGATGGGGTCTTGGTTCAGCTCTCTAATACACTGACACAGACTTAACACGCAAAACCACATGTAGTAGAGTGCCACTGGAACAGACAAAGTAATCATTTTAGTGGGTTCTGCCTAGCAACCTGAATTTCAATTCAAGATTGAAGATTGGATTGAAATATAGTTCGGGGTTGAACATGACTATTGTACAAGCTCTCAAAATTCTAAAACTAATTTGTTTCCAATTATTATGTGCTTTTTGTGCTCTTAACATATCAGAGCTTGCAATGGATGGGTTAAAAATAATTTTACGCCCCACTACTCTTAGCCTATTTAGGAATTAGTCTAGAAAACAGCTGTTTGCCACCAGCTAATCAAATGGGGTTTCAATACGTACTACTGTACTGTAATGAGTTTTCACCGAGCTTGTATGGTAATCCCGTGCGAGACGACCTATTTTACGACTAGTAATGTAATATGCTATTAGACTATTATTTAGAAATTAAAATCACATGTAAAAAAGACTAATTATTTACAGATTTTCAAAAAGATTTTGTAAATACTTAAAGAAACTATTTTATTACGAAGTTTCAGTTCATCCAGTGCATAGTTTGGATCTTTGTGAATATTTTATTAGGAAAGGTTTAAATACCTGCTATTAAGCAATCCAATTTTTTTGTTGGCACAACTAGTTTCGGTGTCTGTGTGACACCATCATCAGGCTGCACAAGGACAGTTTTCTTTCTTCATACGAAGAGCGTCATATTTACACGCAAATAATAAATAAACATTTAAACACAACACAAAAACACGAATACGAGACATTTATGGTAACTGATCAGTTAAGAAAACAGCCACGCTAACCCTGGACTCAAACTCCGCAGGGTTCGTGTCGTCTGTTTTCTTAACTGATCAGTTACCATAAATGTCTCGTATTCGTGTTTGTGTCGTGTTTAAATATTTATTTATTATTTTCGTGTAAATACGACGCTCTTCGTATGAAGAAAGAAAACTGTCCTTGTGCAGCCTGATGATGGTGTCACACAGACACCGAAACTAGTTGTGCTAACAACAAAATTGGATTGCACCATTTTCCAAAAGAAAACGCATACGGTTGAAAACTATTTACTTACACAGAATAAAGCCTCCAGAAAGACACAGAGTAATAAGTAAGCCAAGGTCGAGAAAATTCTCTTTGATGAACATCATGACAACAATGTGCAAAAAGAATAAGAAGCCAAGACGAACAAACTCCACCACCAAGAACGGCCAAGCCAGGGGTATGTTGCACTGCAATCATTACATCAATTACTATCAATTATCAATCGTTGAGATTGGGACGCCACCTAAGTGCATATTTTAACCCAAATATGAGTGAAGGATGGGTAGAATGGTGTAAGATGGTCTGTGATGTGTGTAGCATTGTTACTGACTAAGATCAGCTGTTTCAGAATCATTTATTTAAAACCCAATCATCAGGAACACCTGGTTATCTGGTTATTATGTAATTATTATATTCAACATGCCATTACACTGAAACAAGGGCAAAATAGTACAAAATGAGTGTAGAACTAGTGTACATGTTGCTCGAATTCGAGCAATTGCAAAGTATTACATGAGTTATTTCAAAACGAATAACAGACATATTTACAATGAGTTTAAAAGAGTCAACTTAAAGATTACCCGTGTGTAACTCATGGAGATACTCACGATGTATGTAACAGTAATCGACATTTCCTGTAAATATTGTATCATATTTCATAACCTGGTATTGCTTTTTAATGTTTTCTACAAACATTTCCTGACTTATAGCCATATAAGGTTGTCCATGTTTACTTCGTTATTGATAAACCTAAAGCATTCCGGCCGGTTTTCTCCTTCTCAAAATGCCTCGCTGTACAGGCAACACAGTTCATTGATAGAGGGCCAATTGAGAACGATAAGTCATTTTGGGGTAGTGTTAGGGCGCATTTGTAACCTAATACTGTAGTTGAGATTGTCCAGGGTCACGTGCTGAATGTGATGAGTTATAAGCCTATTACCATAGACAAATTAGAATAAATATTTATTCTATTTGTCTATGCTATTACGCGCCACTGTTCTGTAGCTGCGGTCGTTAACACGATTACGACTCCTGTCTATGTTTCGTTGTCGTTGCGTTGGAGGCATTTAAAAGAAAAAACAACTACAAATAAACAAATTATAGCTACACAAAACAACGATAATGCACAAATTTAAGTTACAATTACGCTAACACGATCCGTCATTGCGACACAAAACAACGATAAGTACACAAATTTAAGATACAACCACACCAAACACGATCCGTCTTGGGGGTTATGTTTACACAAACTCAAATAGTAAATAAATGTACTCAATGCGTTTCATTGAATTGAAAAATAAATAACAGCAATTAAATTATACAGCTGATTAAAGTGTAAACAATTATGTTCTCCATAAGGATAACATGGGAACTTTCAAAGCCACTGGGGCAGAGCCCAAGGGACGCTTTCAAAAATGTAAGGCCAGTTTGCAAATCTACGCGACACGCTCTTTCCAATGAGACGTCAATGGATAAAATCGGTTGATAAATGGGGGAGGAGTTTAACCGACAAAGTTTCATGTAGCGTATTAATTATATAGATAAGCCCATAATGATCACGGACAGCTGGGGGTCTAGTTTCAAAGTATGAAAAACTAGACTTTTCTGAAGACCAAGCTGACTTCCTCAGTAGATGAGCAATGAAATAAACCAATCAGCTGCTTAATAATACTTCATGCAGGTGTACATTTTTAAGAGTGATTATAAATGTTGTAGAATGGAGTGAGATGTCTTTATGATAAAGATCAGCTCTTGTGATGTGTATACCTATACCTACATTGATTATTAAAAACTCAGTACGACAATTATCAAAGCTCAAGTGTACATTACTGTCATTTAAACCACATATTTACTCTATGCCAATTGGAGAGCAGGTTACCTCTGCCTCAGGCCTCAGGTAACTTACAATGCACTAGAGACAAGTAATTAACCTTCCCTTTAACTGGCCTGTCTACATCTACTGGATTTAATCTTTCGCTTTATACTGACAAAAGACAGTATCTTAAAAGTTGCTATAAAATT